AACCCGGGGTTGGGTTTGCCAACGCCGTACCCTTTTTAACCCCGGGGGGGCATTTGACCATTTCCAACAAACCCTTTTAAAATTTTAAAAAACGCCCCCCTCCCCCTTTTCTTGTTGATTTCTTTTAAACAGAATATAAAACAGCCTAAATACTGTACATTCTGAAGTCCTGAACTCGTTCTAATATTTTTTGAGTGAATTGTGAATTTTTTAATAGATGAAAACAGGCGGAAAACCCTAATTTTTGACCCCTAGTTTTCGGTAGATTTTAAAATCTCTTTTTAAGAACAAATATTGCCACAAGATTCAGCATAGTCGAAACTTATGATTGCATGCATTGCTGCGATTCACTGATGGAAATGAAGAACAGTTTTAGAGCTTCCAGGAAAACCTCGTCCCCTGCGTAACCATGAGAGATGAACGGCTTGTTCATGTAACGGTACACTTCGCTGATCAACTTTTTGAAAAACATTTTTTCGATATCGAAAGTTTTTAACACATGATTAGAAGTAGCTTTTTATTCTAAGAACACGTTTGAAACTCGTTTTCAAAAAAGTTCATTTTTCATCCAAAAAACCTGGTTTTGAACTTTTCGGAAACCGGATTTTTAATGTTTTAACCCAAAACATTTTTTAAAACAAATTTCTAAAAATATGCTTTTGTCAAAATGGCGTATTTGTTTTTGAGTTCACTTGCTATATACAATTTGTACAGTGTAGTTGTACAGTTTCCGACTTACTATCCAGTTTTTGAACTCTTAATTTGATACAGCAACTTGATTTTTGCGCAGATCGATCAAAAATATAAAGAACAGAGGAAGCTGTGGAAATCAAAACTTTACCATCGTGTTAGGCGCCTCAAATATACTTGTCAAAAAAGTGCCTAACGCCGTGACGAAAAACGTAATGCTGTGACGCTTATATTTTGTGTTTTTTTGGCAAGTCTAATAACCTAGGTGAAACATTTTTTTACCATTTGAAAGCCCCTGAGCTGCTCTACAGGATCGGCTCAAGGAATGTTCCGTTTGGAGAACTACTTTCGCAGCAAATCAGATTTTCGTAGCATCACTCTTAAAAAAGGGTCTTTTTTCGTAACGCCGTGACACAACACTAAAATCCTTCTCAAAGCCCAATACAACATCCAAAAACCTTCATTTTCACAGCATAAGTAGAGCATGATGAACTGCGTCGTTTGACGGTTGAACGACATTTCTAGCTACTTTATTTTCCGAGATAACCGAAGTTTAGTGCGTCAAAAACGTAACGCCGTGACGTTTGGACAAGCCTTGAAGCTCTCGCTTAGATTCTGTTTTGTGGAAGACACTTTAGCATATCAATATATTGCTATGTCGAATTTTCCAGAGATCTTCTTGAAAACCGATTTTTGAATAAATTCTAAATATTTTCTGTTTACGAAAAGTTTTTATTGTTTACTGTAAAAAAATGCAGTTTTTGTACTTTCCCTTTCATAAATCCAGGCAGTTCCTTTGGAGTTCACTGCTAAAGCATTTCAAATGATAATCAAAGAATTAAAATATATTTCTGGTGAATAATATTATTTTTTGGGGAGCCTACACAACAGGCGTTGTAGATACGTTGCGATCAAAGCCGACAAATAATATTGTTTGAAAGATTAATGTAGATCCATCAGAAGATTTACGCAAACTCGATGATATTGATTTCAATGAACCAATTCAATGGATAATAATCCTATCAAGTTGTCGTCAAAAGTTTAGGAAGATTTTTTTTGAATAAAATGGTGAAAAAAAGTTTTTATGATAAAGTAATATTAATTTCAAAATTTTTCTTAAATTTTTACCAAGACCTCTCGTACACAGTAAATCTTCGGGGATATGAGTGTGTTGGATATGTAAAGGCACTTTTCTCCGACTCTACATGAACTCGATTTTTCTGTAAGTGATATGTGAGAAGAAACGGCTTTGATGTTACAAAATTCTATACAGCACGGACGGTTGTCCTACCAACAGAAACAATAATTGACATATATTAATCAAGCAATATTGATCTAGATACCGATCTGCTGATATAATCCAAACGTGTTATTTATTATTTTCTGCTTCTAAATGTCCTAGACGAAACAAGATCAAATCATGGTTATTCATCTTAATTTTGATGAAACTTATGGATTTTAATATGTTCGTTACAAAATGTTTTCAATAAATTATGAATAAGAAAAAAAGTATAAAAAACAACAAACATTCTATATCAACACTTGGCAAAAAATCTTTTCTCTTCTTTTGTGTTATAATGGCACTTCTAATGAAGAATTGTACAATATCTGATGTTTTTAATTATTGCGACGAAAAAATATCGTACGGAACTAAAAAAAATATCGATACAACCTTCTATCGCAAACAATTAATAAGACAAAAGCATTTTAATCCAGTTTTAACTCGACTATATATATATTGTACGATTTGAACGATCTACAGTATTTGTACACACATATTTATCTTTCCTCTACACATTCATCATGCCTGTATATAGCGAAAGAATAGTGAAAAGAAAAAAGAAAAGGAGAAAATTTTCAGTACATTCGTCTGATTTGAACAAATAATGTTGAAAAAAAAGCGTACGAAAGCAGAGATTTTTATGTGGGTGCGGACGAAGTTCTCTCGTTCTCTCGCCAAAAATAAATGATAATATGCTCATAAATCGATAGTGTGTATATATTTTCCGCTCTTGATGCTATGGGTAACATTAAGAATGGAAATAATTCTGGTATTATTACCATAAGGTGATTTCTCTGAAGTTTTCTTGTTCCTTTAGTGTGTGTTTTCTTTTTTTCTCTGTTTCTCTCTTGATTTTACTGGCTGAATCATCATATTCTCGAAAGAGAACTAACTGCTCAAATACATATGGTAAAGCACATGCTTACTCTACACATACTTCGAGTGATAAAAAAAGGAAAATTGCAAAGAGAGAATAAAAGAATCTAAGAAAAATATAGACAGAAATTTTATGTGTAAAAAATGGCAACTATTAGTGAACTAGTATTTTGTATTTCTCTATTGTAGAAGAAGCTTATTAAAATTTTTGATAAAGATGATTTTATATTGTTAAAACAAATAATTAGAAAAAAAAACGATGAACAATGAATTAGAATGGTTTAGTTTAACCTTTTTGATGGTCGTCCAAAATGTTCTGAGTAAAACAGCTGTTTCTTGTACGTAAATTCGATTTTGTTTATAAAATTACAAATTTTTGTTTTCTTTTCGTAAGAGATATTTTTCTATTAGATTCAAATTATGGAATTAGATATCTGTACATAATAACTTTACACAAATTTTGACTTTACTGATATTTCTTTTTTTTCTAGTACAGTATATTTCGTTGTGTAATCAAACAATCAATATTTCATCAACAACAATAATTCATTTTGAACCGAATAAGTTAACCGATACTACTTATTGTTGTAGTATGACAATAAATTCCATGTCAAATAGTCAACAACTATTAATTAATATTAATTCTTTCATCGACTCAAATCAATCGTCATCGTTTATTCAATTCTTTAATAGCGATCATCAACTTATTCCTATAAATACGTACGTAACTGATAATAATACACCGTACTCAAAAACTGACATTTTGAGATCTCCTCTCACAAGTAACTTATGTCAATTGTCGAAAATATTAACAGAATTTCATTTATTTATTACAACAATATCGTCAGGTAACACATCACTTATTTCTTGCATTACATTTCTTTTCGGTACTTACGTATTTTCTTGATAGTAAAAAGTGACCATCAATATTTTAGCTCCTTGTATGAATTCTTCACAATTTCGTTGTCTGTCAAATCATTGCATCGATTCTGATTTACAATGTGATGGTATTCGTTCGTGTGCTGATGGTTCTGATGAAACAAATGATTGTTTAAGTAAGTTTTTTTTCTCGACAGTCACTGTTTTTAAAAGAATGTGGTTAATTTCTTTTGTTTTTTTCAGAACAAACATCCTTAAATCGTACCAGATCATCAAAATTACCATCGAGAAAATTTAGTGATTCATTAGTAAAAGTATCGATTGTCTTTGGTTCATTGTTGATCATCGTATCGCTTATCATCGGTTTAACATTCGTTTACTTACAACGCAAACGTAAACATCGACATTTTACATATTCATTAGATAATTCTGAAGACTGGGATTATCATCTTTTTGATAACAGACGAGAACCAACAGAAACAGTACCAATAACAAATAGATTGTTTTAGAAAAAAAAATCCCTAATAAAAAGAAGTTTAGGAATTTTTAAAAAAATTCTCAGTTTTTTTCTTTTCTCTTCACTCAGAAAATGCTCAATTAAATGTTGTTTTTATTGTGCATTATTAAACTAGTCAAATGTGTTGTTTTGCTTGGTGACAACAGCATTTAAATATTGAGTACTTCTAGGTAAACACTGTTTATACTACGATAAAATCGAGTATAACAGCCACTTCCTAATTTTTTCTTAAATAAGCAATCTGTGTAAACTACATTTTTTTCGTAAGACTAGTGTGGATGTACATTTATATTACGGCATTAATAGCCAATGTGCTGTTTATATTTTTAGAATAAGCTTTTCTGATATGCACTTTGTCTGTTTTGTTGTTGTTTGAATTTATTGCTCGCGGGTACCATAGATAATATTTCCTGTCACATTTTTTGTGTTCGCTAATTATTAATCAGATTTTTTGCTGAAAATAAAGTTTTATCTCACCCTTAAGAATGTAACTGGAGTAGAGAACTTTTGGACTACTATCATATGGACTTAAATGCTGCATAGAATCTCTATCCATAAATTTTATAATCCCATTTGAGAGACATTAAGGTCTTCCATCGTCTTCAGAAATATTCTTTATAATTTTAATAAGAAATAGTCATTTGATCTTGAGAAATAATATGTGAATACATACAATACAAAACAGACTGGAAAACATTCAAGTATTTTCAATAATAAAACACTCATTATTCAAGTTTTTTACTAATAAAAGAAAAGTAAAAATTAAAGGATTCTTTCATATAGTTATGCGTAGCTTTATAAGGTCTGCAGCATTTTCAATACGAAGTATGAGAGAAGAGGGACTTTTTATTGAGTAGCTGAGGAATTTCAATGATTTTAATTTCTGTAGCATTATGGACGGTTGTTGCAGTTCACAAAATAATGCAATATATGATAAATATCATTTTTTTCTTGCATTGAAACTTTTTCTTGTTCAAAGATAGGCTGTGAATGAGATAAGAAAAATGAGTTCAAAGAGGAAACGCTGAGCCCTCATAACATCATGCTTAATCCTACTATTTCGGATGATTCAATGTTTTCCGTCTCTCACAAAAGATTATAACACCTATTGATTAAAATATTCTCGGCGATTTTGATTAGAAGTGGGAAGGGAGCAAATAGTGTCCGTTTCGTTAAAAAGAACTAATTACAAAATTTTAGTGGTCTTTTACCGAAGCTCCCGCAATTTTTGTTACTCAATAAAATTTTACGGTTAGTGATCAAAATTCGACACTTATTCAATAAAAATTCCCTCATATTTCGTATTAAAAATGCTGCAGATCTTATAAAGGGCGTAACTACATGAAAAAGTCCTTTAATTTTTACTTTTCTTTTGTTAGTAAAACTTGAAAAATATCTTGTGACAATTTGAATAATACGTGTTTTATTATTGAAAATACATAAATGTCTTCAAGTCTGTTTTGTACTGTATGCACATATAAACAAATTTTTTATTTATTAACTTTTTTTTCTGATAGTCATACAAATTCAGGCTATATGCTAGAATACGTAGCGCATACATCCTAGAAAAAATTCTCTGAACTACGTACTGTGCTAATACGCAGAGTATAACCTGTGGAAAAGTGTGATCTATTTTAATATGATTTTGGTTGATTGGCGTGCATCCTGACATGTTTTACCGTAATTATTTTGCTTGGTCTCTCACTTTTTCTTGACGAGTAGTCAATAGAAAGTATCGTCTGTATTCAATACACTGACAAACACTAATCGCCGAAAGATTCGTCTTCCCTCTTTTTTCACTATTACAGAAATAATACTAGATAAACGAAGATAATCTACTAGTACTATGTACTATGCAATCTGATATTGGATTGGTTCTGTCATCAATTTATTTATTGAATCTGTAAAAAATTAAAATTTTTGAAATTAAAATTTTTGAATATCGTAACTGAAAGAGACATGAAAATGAAAGAGGTGGTATACAATTAACCTATAGACCGATTATAACTTGTAAATAATCAATCAATTTACATAAACAAGGAAAAGTTCAGAAGAGGCTTGCAAAACGAGATGTTGTGTTATTATAAGTAATTGATGACGAATAATGATCGTTCATAGTTTGCGCCTACTCACAATATACGTGCTGTAATCGATTATTACTCAAATCTCTCGATGTACACGTTATCAAGGAAACTATAGTGATCCGATGATCTTCTTCTGCTTCTACTTAGTAATTCCATATCTTGCTTGTTATTGATGTTAATAAATGTGCGAGTCTGATTTAGTCCGACAACCTTGATTTTCAAGGTTAGGATGGAATGACTCATTAATCTTCCATGTTTAAGAAGTGCATTAGCAATCATTGATCGGATCGCAAGCAGGCAAAATCATGGATTGGAAAGTTATACGTACCCTCATGCAAAGTATAGAGTGGAACTAACAGTGAAATTAGTGCGAGGAGTACACTCTTCAAAGCAAGAATTCCAATGTGATATGCATTGTATTGAAATATGACTCAGCATTTGAAATAGAACCGTACTGTTGATAAACTTTAAATTCTAGATTGATTTTTTCTTCTTAAATTTTAACTCCTTCTGATGGAAAAGAAAACTCTTCAAATGAAATGATGAGACTCTTTCAAATATTTTCAATCTTTAGTATAGTTTATAGTAATTTCAAAACGAATAACTTATCTTTGGTCTATCACGTACCTTGTATTCATTTGCATTAGATCAAAAGGACATGGAGTGTGATTTATTAGCAATATCCACAGGTATATGCTACATTTCGTAAGGAAATTTGTATCTAAGAAATGTGATATTCAGATGCATAGCATCCCCTATTAATTCGTCTTTAAATTCTACCATGTTGTTTTTGCTACGACGATATTGTTATATACATTTCTCTTAATAGCCACTATTAAAGCAATACGTTCATATCACAAAAAAAATTTTCTATGTTGATCGTATTTCTAACATTTGCCTTGCTCATTTTCTGAAATCAGCGAACCGTTACTTTTATATGGTAAGAACAAATGAAAGCCTCACCTTTGACATTTTGGTATTTTGAACCATTCATTAGTCATCATTATCATCATTATATATACATGCGACTCTTGCTCAGTCTAAAATGATGAGTCTGAAATAAATGAATTCCATTAAGCTCTTGGGAAATTAAGAAAATGTCTGCTTTATCTCGTAAATTACTTGCACACGCTGTAGGATATTTGTGTGTTGCTATTTTTTTTTGTTTAACAACGTATATTGTGTATGTCTACTACACAACGATTGCTTCAAGTGTCATCAATGAGTCGTATCCTAAATTTATATGGCATTTTATATTTGGGAATTGGCTAATGATCAACATCTATTTTAATTATATTATGGCTTGGTTAGCCTCACCAGGATATGCAAAAAATTTTCAATCAATAGCTACACAATATCCAGCATGTAAAAAATGTAGTAATCATAAACCACCAAGAACTCATCATTGTCGTTGGTGTGATACTTGTGTGTTACGTTTTGATCATCATTGTCCTTGTAAGTAGATTAGATGAATTGAAAATAAAATATTAACAAACTATATTTTTGTTCATTTAGGGTTAGATAATTGCGTTGGATGGGGAAACCATCGCTATTTTTTCCAATTTTGTTGCTATATGTCCATTGGCTGTATATACAGTGGTATATTCGGTTTTCGAGAGTACCAAATTGGTCTTATTGGTGAAAAACGTTTTTCTCAACACAATTGTATATTTCAAGCATTTGAGATTTTAGATACGTTAGGAACTGTTGGTTTTATTATATTTTATATATTTATAGCAGGATTAACTATTGGTATAATATTGATTTTTTTAATATTATGGCATGCGAGAATGATTACGCATGGTGAGACATCATTAGAACGAATATTAAATATTCAATATCGTCAACAGTGTCGTGAACAAGGATATCTATTTGTTAATCCATATGATTTTGGATGTTTAGAAAATTGGAAATTATTTTTTGGTACACAAACATTAAAAGAATTTTGTACTAAAGTTTTATTACCATCTACACATAAACCAAATGGAAATGGTGTAACATGGGATGGATTCAATGTTAATTTAAATGCACTAGAACAACAACACAAGTTCACAACAAATAACAGCAGGAATAAAATTCATCCATCAAGGGTCTTCTATTCATCCTCACCAATGCCAAATATTCCGTTTGGTTATTCTCGAGCCCGAACACCAATTGTGCCACCGTGGGAAGTAACAAATTCACGTCCATCGTCACCGTTAACATTTGTTGGAAACCAACATCCTGTTCAACCACATAATGAATCTAATAAAACCTTGTAAAAAAAAGTGTTTGATTTTTATACTTCACGTGTAAAACATATACCATTATTGATTAAACAAATTCTCACTTTTATAGTCTTAAAAAGTAATATTTCTTCATGCATTATCAGAAGAATGAGCTCACGACCCTTATGGTAATAACATGTTAATTTAAAGATCATTTTGTTCTTTCATTTTCATGGTTTCATGACAACAATTTGTTCAATACTAGACTTTATTTGATTTTTGACTTTTTATTGAAATATTCCACTAGAAAATGAACTAGATAGCAATTGCGCTGCGCAAAAGTTACAATGTCGACAGACTGTATCCGTTCTGAATCTGCCAGAAGCGGTCCGCAATCAATAGGGGGTTCGCCATATCACCCTCCTTGTGATTTTAGTTGCTTTTAAAAGATATGGTATAAAAATGTTTAGCGGATTGAGCGCTTTCATTCGGACTACGCTGCTTATTCGTCTGGTCACCCAAATTGTGAAGTTTTCAGTGCACAAGTTAATCTGTACTTTCGGGTAACGTGGGATTTTGAAAAAAGCAGGAAAAGGACTAGCCATACAACGCAGTGAAAGTGTGCATTATAGGGTTTTGTAGACCAGACAATTTTCTATCTTCTGAAGTCGGAACAAAGTCTTGGAACCATACGGGATATGGATAAAAATAGATACATGAATAACCCCATCATTTCAGGATCATCGGTTCTCAGTGGCAAAATGTTAGGGAAAATTTTTATTTCTCAATGCGGATTAATTAAATGAAGACGAATTCTTTATGCAAAGTACCTGTGATGAATAGCTAACAGAAGCGTTATTAAATAAACAATTAGGTCAAGTACAAAAATAATTATAACCTGTTCCGTCGCAGTTATTCTTCTTATCTGTCCCTACTCTTCACTATTTTTTAAAATAATGAAATAATATGTAATGGACGAAGATAATGAATTTTGTAGAGCAGAAAATTTGCTATCGAATGAGTTAGAATGGAATCCTCAGTTGTGCTCGGAAGAAAAGAGAACAAAAGTGTGTCATTATTTTTCGTCCACCCGTTACAGGTCACGCGACTCACATTTCGCAGAAAAACTGTCTATAAGAAAAAACAACAAAGAATCCAACAAAATCATATAATGTCTGTCGACATAAAAATAATTGCTGTTCGTGCATCTCCCATTCCTAAAAAATTACTCAACACATAATTCCCACCAGAGAACGGAGGATTTTTCTGTTCGAACGTCTGCCGTATGGGATACTTTTAGATTAGTATTATTGTGAAACATTTATGAATTTAATCCATATTGAAAATCATTTTTGGATGATAAACGTTTTGAAATGACAGAAAAATGAGCACAATTTTCAAATGATAAAGAACTGACAATGTTTCTCATACAATTACAATGTCAAATTTCAATTAGTTTAACAAATATTTTTGATCATCATTGGTGAAAAATGATTATTGATCAATTTAAAAATAGTTAAAATAGTTGAAAATTATAATTATCTTGAAATGTATGAACACAAAAAAATAATGATTCATACTCTTAAACACGACTCATTTTTGCTAAAATAACAAGGTAGAAAATCAACACTACATATTCAGATTTTTAGATTGTTTTAGTCAAGACATTAAAAGGTAAAAAGTACGAATATAATACTGACCTTCATTTATCACTTTTGAACAAATTGAAGTAAATATAGTTGACGATTAACCGGATTAAGATAGGACCGTTTGAGAATTTGTGATATTCTGAGATGATACATATGTATATACATCTTGAATTTTAAATCATTATACTCTGTTCAGTCAAAAAAATGAATTTTGTTTAAAAATCGGTCAATCACTTCATATAGTATAAAATGGATTTGACTATGTTCAACTCTATAACTTGTTCTTCAGTAATGTGTTAAATAACATAAGTTGTTAAGCAAACAACATGGTTCTAGTTATTGTAGGAAAAAAAAAGAATATTCTAAAAACACATTAGTGTAAAACATTCAATATAAAAAATTAAAATCTGACACCACCGGAGTAAGACAAAGAAAAAAATACAGAAAATATATCTCTAAATAAAAGAGAAGTCGATTTACTGATAGAAAAGTACTGTTTGCTTTTTAATAGTGGAAGTTGCACATTAGTCTGACTTTTATTGTCTTTAATTTTGTTCACTATATGTTGACGATGAATTTAAACGTTTTATGGTTGTTGCACGTATTGAATCTATCGGTCGAAGAACTGTTTTTTCATTTGTAGTTTGTTGCTGAGTATTTGTTAATTCATTCAATTGTCGTTGTTTCGCTTCATAATCGAGTATATATTTTGGAAATATAGAACGTTCATCAAATGCTGATTTCAAATCTAAATTATATACAATTGACAAGAATAATTATTATAAACACGACGTACAGATTCATCTATTTACTTTCTCCGATGACTGATGGTGGCCGTCGTCGAGTGCCACTGCTAAGTGGTTCAACACTTCCACGTTGTAAAAAATAAGAATTATCAGTAACTGATGTTTTTTTTGGATCAAGAATGACTGGCAGATCAAATGTTTCTAATGACTAAAATCGAGCAATATAGTAAGTTGAGAAATTTCAATGACCATCTGTTATTATTTGATCAGTTGATACATACTCCATAAGCACCGCCCGGTGCTAAACCAGTTTTTTCCCATAGAGCAAATTGTTTTGTTTGTATTAAACCTGGTTGATTTCGTTGACGACGTCCATGCGTTCGTCGCTCTTGATAACTTACACCTAATATAAAATAGAACTTATAAAAATTCGGAGCTATACTAAGTTTTTGCATCTACCTATCGTTGTTTTATCCCAAACATTTGATCGTCTTGTTAACATTTCATCATCCGTCATATTTGATATTGTATCTAAATCATAGTCTACTGTTGATCGAAATGATGTTATATCACTACTATCAGTTATCTTTTGTTCACTTTCCGCATCATCATTCTCTTCTTGACGTCTATCATCTTTGTCATTAGAATTTTGTAAATCTAACCGCCAATTATTCGCTTGTCCAAATATACCATAGATATTACCATTAACATCGGATAAAGCGACGCTACAATCACTTGAAGATGTTATTAGATAAGTTCGCTCATCTTTTTCAACAAAATCCAAGCATGTTATAGAGTCAATATGACGAGTAAATTCAGACAGTAGAGCTAAAACATATAAAATAAAACTTCATCAATTCGAAATACGTAATAATTAAAACTTTATATTTAACATACGCGGTAATGTTTTCACTAAGTTATCAGACGTATGTCGACAATATTGTTCGATCTCCCACACTTTCACCAAGCCATTTACATCTCCAGTGGCTAAGTACTTATTTTTCAAATCAATTTCCATTACTATGCTACTTACTAAAAAATAAAACGTAACAGAAATTAACAAAAGTGCAATTACATTTTGAGCACAGTAGTAATTTCGTTAGCAGATTAAGTGCGATAGAACTTCAGAAAGTATAATGTGCAACATAATTGGATACTAAAAAAGTAGATACCATCAGAATGAGCTTGAAATTCAGCAACTAATAATCCTGTATAAGCATTCCAAAAACGCGTATATCCTACACCACCACAAGATACAAGATTTGAGCCATCATTTGTCGATTGTTGAATACGTTTATCAAGAAATTTAAGCGTAGTTATAGCAAAGTCAGCTGCATTATCTTGAAGCTGTAATGCAAGAATATTGAGCAGCATAAAGAAAAATTTTTTATCCATCTTTGCGTTGACAATACCTTGGCTTGTGTATTATTCGGATTTCGTTTTCTCTGATCTAATCGTCGAATGAACAATTCTGATGATGTATTCCATAAGCAAATATCACCATCAGCGCTTCCAGTAGCCAGAAGCTGTGGTGTAAAATTAGTGAGAGCCATACAAACAATATCATCTTCATGCACCTTTTATATACAACAGAAATGAGATAAGACGTTCATATTTTATCGGATCGGATATCCTACCTCTTTTCCTAACCAAGTTGATGTCTGACCGCGATTATGTTCAATTTGATCGACATCTCGAAATACTGTTAAATGTCTAAAATAATATATTCAATTAGAAAAAGTTCTTTTAAGTAACGACAAAACTCGCTTGCTCCATCCAACAGCGACGATTCGACGTTTTAACGCTTCGATTTGAGAGATTTCACACGCTGATCCTCGCCCTAAACACGAGCGGTAAATCATACAGAAATAAAGAACAAACTTCTAATCATCGTTTAACCAGTGGTCTGTAAAGACCGAATCAATTTTACTTTTTATTTTTAAGGAGCAGTACCTGCGTCAAGTGTTTGTATTAAACGGCCATTATAATTCCAAACCTGAATAACAAATATAGTTTTCCAACAAAACTATGGCATTGAAATATATATGGGTTCTTACCCTTATTTTTCCATCACTACTTCCAGTATAGAACTTTTCTCCAAACTCATCAAATCCAATACAGGTTACATCCGCTTCACCTTGTCGTTCACTAAATCGTTTGGTTTTTTGTCCTTGTTCTATTGACCAAAAACTCACGTCACCCGCTTGACAAACAATCATTACCTGATTAGAATAACAGAACTCCTGATAAATAATCGCATTTAATTAAAGTATATTTTACTTGTTTTTGTTTTGTAGAATAGCGTGCTGCAATTATTGGTTTATCATGTGTCATAATTCGACCTTTAATTTCCGGTTTGATTTCCAACATACAAACGTTTGTACGAAATGAGGCAAATAGACGATTACGAGGATCATCGAACCAGACAAATACATCGACTAAAACGGGACAAAATGACTGCTATTCTTCGAAACTGCGATTAACAATAGCGGAAGTTTAAAAAGAGCCATCGACCAGAGGACATACCCGACCAGTTTGTGTGCTAGAGTGGACGTTGCCCTCTTACTAAGAATTTTTAACCAATTTTTCCCGGTGAATTCATTCAAATCTTTTTCCCCAGACTGATTCCTGCAGAAGCTTTGGTGCTACTTTTCTGTTCACGAAATTCTGTCTAAGTCACTTCTTTTAATCATCTTATTTTCTGCAATAAAATTTTCTGTGAAAAAGAACTCTACAAAAAATCTTTTTACCTTCACTGGTTGTGCACCGATGCGTGCTGGTGCCAGAAAGACTAAAAATCTCGCACTGGTGCGTGCCAATGCCGAAGTTTTGTGTTCAATCACCATTTTGTTTTATCAATTTCTGTCTATATTAACACTACAGTATACTTTTGTCTTCTATCTTTTCCTTCTCAAAAGAGAAGTGGCGAGGCAATGCCGTATGGTTTTGGCATGTCAATGTGGTACTGATCAGTGCCGCACTCTAATACAAAATTCAGTATAAACGTCATAATAAAAAACTAATTAAACTGATTAAACAAATTTTAGTGCGGCACTTTTTAAGCAGAAATATATTGGCACTTGCTGGGAACGAATGCGCACCGATGCCCACTAACTTTTATCAGTGCCACACTGTAATTTTTTTTGTAGGGAACGCTTTGACACTATCAGAAAAAATTCAGCGCTAACCTTCAAAAGACATATTTTCAGTCTTATTGTCTATTTAATGCAATTTTATTGTTCCAAATTTTTGATTAAGAATCATATGGTACAATAAAATGACTAAACAATTATTTGGATGAATCTCCAGCTACTTTGGTTATAAGAAATAGTGCTCCCTGCAGAACTTCAAGTGTTAGTAAACACGTTGTATCGCTAACGTTTTCACATGAAGTTGAATGATTAAAAGTAGCATAATGTAACACTACGTGCGTTTAACATACACTAATGGAATTTCTACTGCATTCTGCTCGTCATTCTGTTTTTAAACGCACAGATCTACGAGAAAAACTCCACGTAAACGCATCATCACGCGGTACTAAGAGTATAGCTTATTCGCGTGAAACATGAACGCGTTTCAATTCAATAATCTATATTGAGCAGAAACACACAGAAAAGTGGAAAATGGATACGTGAAATTCTTACATGGATAGTTAGAAATCAGTGAGATATTAGACCGATCCTTTTATTCATTGAGTTGATATCAGCACCTTAAGTTTAATTCTATTTATCATCATGTCTGTTCTGCATCACACATCCGATGGAATTAGATACTAACAGATATTACTTATACTGATAGATGTAGTATCTATAGTCCACAGCAAGGTCACGAAGAATGTTATATTTCCTTTCTAATAAATCCATGTTTTCTAGAGCGTATGTATGTAGACCTGTGTGTAGACCTGCACCAGTTACGGTTGATGATTTACACTTTATTTATTTGAAACTATAGCATCGCGCCATCGAGGGACAAACCACTCATTATTGGTACAAATTATTAATTGCAATACACAATCACAGTTCATGATGAAGTTACGGTTAACTCGTATTTTAGTGACTGATTATCGGTTAACTACAAAACTGATAACCAGTTAATCATCATTGGCTGATTAACCGATCATATTATACTGATCTGGACTACTGTTAGTTCCAGTGTCTGCAGGTATTCTTTCGAACGAAATGAGTCCCATAGAGCAGACACCTGAGACCATCAATCTATCCGAAAATCAATCCCAAACCAACACTTGCAAAAAAATTATATGCTTCTATTTTTTCAACATATAACGTGTCATTCTCATCATCAGAACTGTTATAAAAATATACGATAAACTGCCGTGAAAGTTAGATTCCTCAATACTGTCTACGATTATGACATAAATGTAGAGACCTGCAACCCGACCCGACCCTAGGGTCGGGTCGGGTTCGGGTTAAGATGCTGTCGGATCGGGTCGGGTTCGGGTTAAGATGCTGTCGGATCGGGTCGGGTTCGGATTAAGATGCTGTCGGATCGGGTTCGGGTTGAATATTTGGCGACGCAATTTAAAATATAAATAATATTTTTAGTTTTGTATTACTGGTTGAAAGTTATCTCTACTGGAATTTCCAGTTGAAAGACTTGTTTCAGAACAACTGCATTCACTAAGTCGATTAATGATTGCTTTCTTTGCACATAAGAGAGTGCTTCCTGCACTGAAATTAATGGCAATACATCCCTTACTGCTTTTTTTCAATGTACTGTTTTAAACACCCGTATATAGAAGACTTTACTATAATGCTCTCTACTTGCTATCTTAGTATTAGGTGATACTGACTGACCAATGAGAAAAAGAATGTGATCATCATATCGGTTAAGATAATCTATTGACAAAGTGCACTGAGGAATTTTCAATAGATTAACCTTTTTAGACAAAATGACCAATCAGAAGTCGTTCAAAAATTTTTTTTTGAACTACGAGATTCTACAATATGCACCGAAAAACTTTTGTCTAACAAGAGAAGTCTATATTCTTTTTCAAACACAGTTTTCTGGTGAGATTATTTTCATCGGGTCGGGTCGGGTTCGGTTAAGTTGTTATCGGATCGGGTCGGGTTCGGGTTAAGTCGTTGTCGGGTCGGGAGCGGGTCGGCATTTTGGCAGTCGGGTCGGATTCGAGTTAGGTTTTCTTAACCCGTGCAGGTCTCTACATAAATGTTCCGGATGTGTATACGCATATCTTCCACTCTCTATCTTTCATATGATAAATACCAGAGCGCCGACAATTTAAACCGAAACTAAAGATTAGATATAGTTTATATGGTCATTCTCTTCAACTATGACCAGAAAAATAAATAAGGCAAATTCTAATAGAAACCGTTACCCGTCTTTTACATGTTTGAATGACAAGTCAGAATTGCCTACCATGCCAGACCAGTAAAGTATGATCGGCTAAAATCACAGCATTATCTTGTGATGGATTGTCCGATGGCAAGACTTGACCACTGTCCGTTTTATCATCATCTCCAAAATTTACTAATTTTGGGTCAGAGCTATACCCCGCAACTGCTATTAATATAACTAAGTCGTCATTTACCTACGTATAATCTAGTTGCTGAAATGTTTTTAAAAAATCCACACTCTTTAGTGTCCTTTTCCAAGCAGTGGCAGGAAGACGATTACACAGTACTCGTCGTTGACTTGCTATCAATTTAAGTGAAGCACGCAGCCCATTTGTATAGGCACACATGAATATATATATATATATATATATCATTCTTTTGCTTTGGTAACGAGATCATACGGGATCATTGTCTCCTGCTGCTTAAAATGAATACAGGACTATGGTCTTCTATTGGTCTTTTAAGTCAGAAACTCAACAGTGGTCTTCTAATGAATGGTCTTCCATTCTGGGGAGAGGGAGGAGATGATGTAGAAAATCAAATTTATATTGTGTATTTTTTACTACTGTCTTTACAAAATATAAGCTCCATTTAATAAAATAACTTATGCTGTTGCTCATCAGCTTAGCAACACCCACGTAAACTTGGCTGGTCTGTGCTAGAACGGACAACAATCATACTAACAACAGTTAAATATTTCCAAAGACCGCTCATGCCGTCAAAATCGCCTAACTTTTGTCGATTTATCGCGGTTCTGACATAAACCTGTGATTAATCGCGATTTTTCTGCTGTGTTTCTGTGACAACAACCAAAAAAATCGCCGTTTAATTGTGTGATTTTGACGTCATGGGTGCTATAGTTGATAGGATATTTATATATTGAAATTATGTTAATGGATTTTAACAGTTATTCTACTCAACACCATTCATTTTAGACCTTATGTTATTTTTTAAACCAAAATCTGTAAAATCACTCTACTGCCTAGGAAGAAATGGATATCATTAGTTTGTTTAAAATTTTACCTTCCGGTCCACGCGGAAACGTGTTTGATAATCGTTGTAAACAAATTTGTAATTGAACATCCCATATTCTTAAAATTTTATCTTTCG